TTAGGACTTCTCTTTGATTTGCTGTTCAGTTGCATGGCTACTTTTGTAATTCTTTTTATTTATCCTGCCTAGGATTTCCTGAACCCGAGAGAATTCCTGTTGTCTCTCAATTTTGGAACAATCTCAATATTCAAATTCTTACTGAATATTGCTTTTCCCACATTCCCTTTATTATCCTCTGGGACACCAATTAGATGTATGTTACTTCTCATTCTATCTTTCATGTCTTATTCTCTCATACTTTCCATGTATTTGATATTCTAAGTTGGATACTGGATTTTTTTTTCACTTTTATCTGCCAATTAACAACTTTTCTCTTCAGTTCTGTTGAATCTGCTCGTCAATTCTCCATATGGGTTTAGGTTTTAATTTCAATTGTATTTTTCATTTATAGATATTTACTCTTTTTCCCACATCTACTTGGTTTCTTATTTCCTACTTCTGATTATCTTATATTTCGTTAAGCCTATTAAACACACTTAATATGTATTATGTGTGCAATAATTACTTGATTTGAAATCTTTGTGTGTCTCATTTTGGTCTTTTGCAAATTCTTGCTTTATGTTAGGCTTCCTTTTTCATGTATTTTATGGTAATATTTAATTATAAGCTCATGTTTGTGGAACTTTACCTGTGTGAGTTATTTGAGGGTTTTAAGTGGTTTTCTCTTTTGTTTGTTTTTGTTGTTGTTTTTGGTTGCTGGCCTGTACAGGGATCAAACCCTGGACCTTGGTATTATCAGCACCATCCTCTAACCAAATGAGCTAACTCGCCAGCTGCTAAGGACTTTCCTTGAGAGAGGATCCTGCTTCTGCCAAGATCCCAGGGGCACTACTAACCGAGGAACACTTTTAAAATAATTTTTTGGCTAGTCCAAGATGGCAGACAAGGCCACTGGAGTGTCGTGTCTGAGATCCAGGTGCTGAAGACTAACACTGGACCCCGAGATCGGGAGTTGTGGGTGCAGTGACTGAAGGAGGAATATCAGTCCTTTTTCCGGTATGTGGAGAACAACAGGAATGCTGACAATGATTGGTTCCGACTGGAGTCCAACAAGGAAGGGACCCAGTGGTTTGGCAAATGCTGGTACATCCATGATTTCCTGAAATATGAGTTTGCCAGTCCTATCATATATCCTGCTACTGCTCCAGAAATTGCAGTCCCTGAACTGGACGGAAAGACGCAAAGATGTACAGGAGTGGCAAAATATGCCTAACCAATCACTTCAAACCTTTGTGGGCCAGGAACATGCCCAAGTTTGGACTAGCTCATATCATGGCTCTGGGGCTGGGTCCATGGCTGGCAGTGGAAATCCCTGACCTGATTCAGAAGGGTGTGATCCAGCACAAAGGGAAATTCAACCAATGAAGGATTGAGCCACTGAGGCAGGACAGAGGGACCTTTGACAGGATACGTTCCTGTTTTCCTGTGCATCACTCTTACTCATCTAACTGCTTTCTCCCACAGCCCTCTACCCCTAATTGTTACTAAGTAGCTGCAGCAGGCTTTGCTGGAAAATAATAATAATAATATTGCTACAGAGTTTCTGTGTTAGGCTGCGCAGAGAGGGGAAAGACTTGGGCCTTGGAAAACCAAGAGGCAGTTTATATCCTTTCCCCAGGTGGAGCAGTGTGAGGTCCTGGAGCCATAGGGAGGAACTGAAAGTCAGTACATAGCCGTTTTGGTTTTTGGAAACAACCCATCAATAAAAGCTGCTTCCTCTGGTAAAAAAAAAAAAAAAATAGATAAATTAAATAAAATAATTTTTTGGCATTAGGTTTCTCAGATTACACAGTTAATGTAAATTTGGATCAGAAACCACCACGAGGAAGGGCTTCTAGTTATAAATTCTCAGATGAGGTTCGTCACTCTCACATCTTCCATAGGCTTCTAAATAAGACTCCCCTACCTACAGAGGTAGGTCAGTCGTGTAGAGAAATCAAACCATATTTTCTGTTGTCGATAATCTTCCAGATGTTTTTGCTTAGCTTGCTCCATTCTGTTTGTTGAATTACTTTAAAAACATTGTATTCACTTGCTTTTGTGGGATTCTCTAGTGTCTGGGTAGAATAAATAGTCAAGGATATCCTCAGCAAGTTTTCCTCAGAATGTCTAAGGGCATTTTCAAGGCCACATTCTTACTTTAGGGTCCCTAGGTATTTTTTCTTTTGTGGACACCTCCCACCATTAAAATTATTAAAAATTGTCTTTTAGAACTGTGTTGATATAAAGACAAAGTTAATCCAGGCTGTATCATAGCATTATTTCTTTCTTTCTTTCTTTTTTTTTTTAATTATAACGTTCACAAATGCTGGATAAGTTGGCTCTGGGCATTGCTCGCCTCTTCCTCCCTCCACCCCTAATAAGAAAGGTCTTCAAAAAGTTCAAGAAAAGATTTGTTATCTTTTAATTCCATTTTTCCACAAATTTTTTGAACTACTCTCATGTAAGTTGTCCTGGCGGTGCCAGTAATATTAAAGGTTTCTATTGAAAGGAAAGAAAAAGAAGTGAAACTATACATTTCCCTCCCATCCCTGTTTCTTTCTTTTTTTAACAAGAGAACAAAGGGGACCTCCCATCCCTGTTCCTATTTCACCTCTTTTGCCAAAAGTCCTCATTCTTTTTTTTTTTTTTTTTTTTTTTTTGTCTTTTTTTGTGACCGGCAACGGATCGCAACCCTCAGTGTCACGCCCGTACCGGACCGGGACCGGCAACGGGATCGCAACCCTCGGTGTCGCGCCCGCACCTCGCTCAGCCCGTGAGCGGCCGGTCTGTATGTGGGATCCTAACCCTCGGCAGGAGCGCCGCTGCACTCCCAAGCGGCGCACTGTAGCAGTGCGCCACCGGGCCAGCCCCCCAAAAGTCCTCATTCTTATGGTACAATCTCCAGTCCCTTTTCTTTACTTTCCTTCTTAGGCCAAAACAATCCACAGTGAACTAAATCTGCCATGTACTAAAGATAAGAAAGAGATAAGATGTTTACCTAGTAATAAAAGTGTATCCCTACTATTTAAACTCTTTCTCCATGTTCATAGATTATATTTTGACTTAGAAGTATTTTTTGTTTGCTTGTTTGGGTGAAAAGAAGTAACACTAGCAGAATAAACCAGGAGTTTATATCGTCTTTTTGCCACTAAATTTGGTACTAAACTTTAGGAAGAAAAATTAAAAGAAAGAATTATAGTGGCTGGTGTGTGTGACATACACACCCATAGGGCATTTTAAAACTAGATGACTTAATGTTTGTATAGTGCCATGGGCATTATAGATCAAAGATGCAGGGCTTACCCTGCATTGAACCCATTTAATTTATACTCAGATTATAAATTTAAACATTACAGAAGTGTATGGAGCCTCATATGCTTTATATTTTTCTGGTTTCTTTTTGGCTGGAGACAGCTTTCTGTCTGATAGATAATAATAACAATGCTTTTACATTTATAGGCAATATACATTCTTTCATCCAAGGAGTTCAAAGAACTGAGCAATTATGAGTCATTGTTCCTTAAAATATCCCTACAAAATTGGAAGTGACAAGTATTGAGGTCAACTGATTCTAGGTAAAAACAAAACAAAACAAAACAAAAAACGAGAGTCATGGTGGCATTAAAGCATTGACCAGAGATTTCGGGAGTCAGAGATGGAATTGAGAAAAAGTTCCCCTTTCTTTGATTCAACCACAACCAGTAGCACACATTTTTCCCATAAAGGTTTTTTTTTTGGCAACTGGCTGGCATGGGGAACCGAACCCTAGACTTTGGTGTTACAAGTCTGTGCTCTAACCAACCCGTAAAGGTATTACTTAAAGGGCATCGGTTGCATTCATGATAAAGATCATGCTTCATAACTCTGAAGTGTTTAGCACTTACCTACCTCTGCAAGCTTACCTCATACACCTCAACCACAACCAGTAGCACACATTTTTCCCAGAAAGGTTTTTTTTTTTGGCAACTGGCTGGCATGGGGAACCGAACCCTTGACTTTGGTGTTACAAGTCTGTGCTCTAACCAACCCGTAAAGGTATTACTTAAAGGGCATCAGTTGCATTCATGATAAAGATCATGCTTCATAACTCTGAAGTGTTTAGCACTTACCTACCTCTGCAAGCTTACCTCATACACTCCATCCCCACTGTAGCTATGGCCACTTTGCAAATGGTGTTCCCCTCTGCCTGGAATATTTGACCTTTCAAGTGCGTGTCTCCTAGTCATCTTTCCAATTTCATATCAAGGGTCCCTTCTTAAGGGAACCCTCTGAATAAATCAAATTCCAGCATTATAGTTTCTCAAAGCACCATGCACCTCCCCTTCAGAGCCCTTGCCAGAGCTTCAATTTCATACATGAATATATTAATTGTTTGATTGTTTGAGTCATGCCTATTTCACTCACCCAACTGTAGGCTCCATGAGGGCAGGGAACATGTCTTTGTTTTTGTTTTTTATTATTGTAGTCCTAGCATCTAGTTTAGTGCTTAGTGCTAAAAATGGGCTGAAAACGTATTTGTTGACTGAATTATTTTAGATTTTAGGAAAAGTGTTTTTTCAGAATTTGCATCCAAATCCCAAAACTTCAACTTGGAATTATAATCAGGGAGAAAATGCCTGGCATTCTAAGTTGTTTGTCTAATATATATTAGAATAGAAAATGTATAGAATGCCTTAATGACTTAATTCAAATTAAAAACCATTAAAATTCTAGTAAGATGACAGAAGATAAATTAGGAAAGTGCTGAAAGGGAAAGAGCTCAGAAAAACTGGATTCAGGGGAGTTGCCATAATTAATACAAAATTTATCTCTGGTTGTTGGAAATTTGAGATTAGACAGGAAAGCCAGTGGATTATTTCTGGAGCAGGAGTCCCCACCTGAATCCAAGAAGTTAACTTCTCTCCGTATATTTATTTGGGCTCACTCTAGATTTTTCTTGGGTACCTGAGAAGACTGGATGCATTAGAGCTATCTACTCCCTGGCCTTATTGAAGGACTCACATCTGAGTCTCCCGGACAGTTGTTACCAGCAAAAGCTTTATTCGTACGGCCCAGGTTCTCAGGAGTGATGGAGTGGGCAAGAATCTCTCTTCTTCTGAAGTCGGGCTTTTCTGATTCAGCAGAAGAATAATCCAAGCTGTGCTTTTTTCTTTTCTTTTTCCTTTTAAACAGGGACATATCATAATCTTATCTGTGTTTTAGAAAGAAAGCTCCAGAGGCAGTGCCAAGGATGGATCTAAAGAGGGGGAGAAACAAAATGAAGGAGATCATTGAACAAATTATTGGCATAGTCACAGTAAAAACTAGCGGGGTCTGAACTCAAGTTGTGGCAGCGAGGGAGGTTTGGAAGATATTTCAGAGGAAGGACTAACAGTATTTGAGCCCAGTTGGATGTGGGCATTGAGGGACAGGAAACAATCAAAGCTGTCTCAGGTTTCTAGGTTTGGGCAATCAATGGATAAGAGGTGCTGTTACCTAAATAGGGAATACCAGACAAGCAGGTTTAGTGGGGTATGAGTATTAGGTTTTCAGTGCCTGGGGAACATACAAGTAGAGATGCCAGAGAGACGACCTGGCTGGAGATCTAGATTTTGGAAACTAGATTACATTCCTTTGAAGAATTCGTTTGTTTTTTATATTGGTTGTAAATCTAAATACACCTTCTCACAGCAATCATGCTGTAAATGTGGTTAATTTCCCATGAAAGCCCACAAATATCCATTTAGCCTATAGTGTTCCTGATAAAGCATGAAATATTTATAAGAATGTTTCTATGGGGACTTCTGTTCACCAGGCCAACTTGGTACTCCAGTGAAGCATCTTTTCTTGCTCAGAATTGGCAGCTGAGACTTCTCTGCCAATGCTTTTTCTCTTCCCAGTAATAATGGAGCATAGATTGTTAAAGGGCAAGTGCAGATTCTACGATGTGGAACTAGTATTGCTTGTAGATTTAGGGAGAAGGGGCTACATTTTTATTTAAAGTACTGAGAGGGAGAATTGGCAGATGTTTCAGGTAAGGATAAGTGATCAAGCCTGGACAGATGCTGGTGGGGATGGAGTGAAAGCTGAAGGATCTGATTAGGGTTGGAAGAATAACAGGAGTGGAGAATCAGCACAAATGGGAAGCCTGAGAATCACAGATTCTGGGCAGCTTTGGTGACCTTACTAATGAGGTTGGGAAGATCAGCCTTGCATTCTGCTAATCAGTAGTGAAGAAGAGAAGGAAGGGGAAGTAGACGGGGTGCCCAGGAGCAGTGGCAGTGGGCAGGGAAAATCTTTTCTTTGGACACCATGTGACTCCCTGGCTAGGACAGCCATTCATAGATGTGTTGATTTAATTTAGGATTGCTGGTAGTGAGAGCATACTATCCCAACTCACAACTCAAGATCTAAATTAGGACTAGGAAACTTGTACATTTCTGATAAAAGAGGACCTCTATTATTATGCAAATAGACGTGCTGTCTAGATGATCTTACCTGTCCCTACTTTTATAGTTTAAAAGTCAGTTAAGCATTCCTTATTCAAAGTAATTGAAAGGTTTAAGTCTCCCTTAACATTAAAAAGCATTCTTGTCACTGTTAAGCATTATGATTTCACATTTATGTAAACCTTATTGCATATAAAAATAAACTATGGTTTATTTTTTTCCCTTTTTTTTTTTTTTTTTTTTTGCAGCTGGCTGGTGAGGGGATCCGAACCCTTGACTTTGGTTTTATCAGAACCGTGCTCTCCTAAGTGAGCTAACCAGCCAGCCCGTCATCTTTTTGTTTTGTTGTGTTGTGTTTTGAGCTCCTGACCTTGGTGTTACAAGGTGGTGCTGTAACCAATTGAGCTAATAGGCCAGCCCCATTTTGTTTTGTCTATTTCCTTGGTAGTTCTATTCCTAAGCAATGAAGAAATGGGGGAAGGAAGATGGGGGTATCACTAAAGGGAGATAAATTTTTGCTGTGTGTCAGTGACTCAGACAAACTTCAGATTTGGCAGGAGATGCTGGGTAGGGTTGGGGGTGGCAGTTAACCCTTGGTAGAAACAAGAAAAATGAGGAAAGAATGTTTAAACATATTTAATATGTACTGATTCAAAAAATATTTAGGTAGATACAATTTATAGCATTTTAGTTTTTCTGTTATTTAGATGGAGGTTAAGTAGTCTCTGCCTTGACTAAGTAGAAATGCATTCAGTGGATATGTTGGACTCTGTTAACATGATAGGAATTTTCCAGACTGTGTCCTATAGATGTGTTAGGCCACAATCTTTTCTGAGTCTTTTTTTCAATATTATATGTTTTCTACTTGCTTGATTAAGAAGAGAAATGGACTTCGGGTGAATAGTCCCAGCATATTCTGTATGGCTTTCAACACATGACTGCGGGTTCCTGAAATTCTTTTTGTGTAGGTGCTCTATCATGCAGTGAAATTGCTTAATCAACAGGGGAAAAATCAAATGGACAAACACTGGCAGCTCAAATAAAAACTCAGATGACAACTCAAAGTGGATAATTAGGTTTCGTCTGCAGAACTGCAGAAATCCATCTGCCAAACAACATGCCTGCAGTTTTCAGAGTCTGACTTCTTGTTACAGCTACTAAGACTCCAATTAATCTCATAAGAAGGATGAGAGCCAAGTAAAGACAGAAAGAAGGAAAGATGTCACACCAAGTCAAAAAACAAACCAAGGTAGGTTGTGATCTTCAACTAAATGAGATCAGCTAAACATTTAGCCTCCATGAGATCCCAGGTCAGCTTCTTTTTCACTTTTTACTTTTCCTCCAAGGCCCCAAAGAGCTGTGGATAATCTTAAAGTAACTATGTTGGGCACAAATACCTAAAATATTAGGAAGATAATGTATTTTCTCCATAAGCTACTTCTAGTGTGGTGTGGAGTGGAGTGAGTTTGAATACAATATAGGGTCTGATTTACCATTAGAGGAGGAGTCCGTGAAATACAAAGATGAGTATGTTCCAGAGATGGATATAGAACCGGGCCCATTTAGCAGGTATTCTGATTTTCGTATTGGCTGGTCGAGTATAGATGACCCATTTGATAGCCAGAATGGATTATCTATGAGACCAGCAGGGTAGTAGTTTGATTTGGGCTGAGTTTTCCCAGAAGCTAACCCTCAGGTACAGAGTTGACTGCAGATTAGAAGGTGATCTAAGGAAGCCCAAGTAGGGGAATAGGGAAGTGAGAATCCGAACAAGAGTAAGTGGTGGCAAAGTGTTTGACCCTACGTGGTTGCCATGTGTTTGATGCTTGAGTCACCAGAGGTGACAGGTGGGAGATGGGAACTGTTGTTTACAGACTAGAAGTTCCAATTTGGGGGTGCCAGGAATAGAGGTGTTTCAAAAAATTAAGCTAGAAAATACTAGAAATTGTTTTTGACTCTTGACTAATTAGAATAAATAAATTATAGCTAAAAAAGGACAAAACCCAAGAATAAGGAGGAATAACTGTCCATGATTCAGCTTCTTGATAATCTGCAGTGCTTTGTGGTTCCTGGTAGTCTGTCTCAACCAAAGCCCAAGTTCTCTTAAGTACCGTCACCAAGTCTGTAAGGCCAATCTGATGGGCAAGGAGTTTTAGCCTTTGGTTCTGAGTGAGTGTGTGTGTGAGTGTGAGTGTGTGTGTGCGCGCACACACGCGTGTGTGTGTGTAACAAGTTTGATAGTTCTGCTTGACCTGAGTCATTTAGGGAGAAATGTACATACAGGAATGAAAGGACAGATTATGGACATGTATTAGTTCTGATCCATCGAGAAGCTGATGTCAAGACAGGATTCAAAGTGAAAGAAACTTCTTGGGGAAAATTCCTGTGAGGGAAAACAGAGAGGGAAGAGAAGAGGCTGAGAGAGCCTCTGACTACCACACTGAGCTGACCCCTGGGAAAGAGAGAAGGCAGGAAGGCAGGCTGGGTAGGAGGAGTCTTAGACTGCAGCGCTGTTCTAAGAAAGTTTTGGCAAGGCCAATGAGGAGTCCTCAAGCCAAAGTCACCAGGAAAGGAATGGGTCTGCCTTTGTTTCTCTGCCACACTTTGTCATTGTCTGGGAATAGCCCATGGGAAGCTTGACCTCAGTATACACGCATTGGTGTATTCAGAGACAGCACCTGGGGTCATCCCACAGATCCTATGTAGGCAGGTCTGTCTTTACAATTTTGAAGATATCTGCAATAAATTTATGTAGTTTGGAGTATTTCAGGGGAGGTGAAGCAACATTGCAGTGAATAACCACAGCCGAAGCAACCCACATTTTTGGGTACACTAAGCATTTCCTAAGTACTACACATGCATTAAATCTTGTAATGCTTACAATAATATTGTGAAGTGATACATTAATTAGGCAGGACTCTTTTGGTTGCAAATGATAGAAACTCAACTAAAATGAACTTGAGTGAAAACAAAAGAGTTCACAGAATTTATCTGCTTATAGGGCCGGCCCCTGGCTCACTTGGGAGAGTGTGATGCTGATAACACCAAGGCCACGGATTCGGATCCCTATATAGGGATGGCCGGTTAGCTCTCTTGGGAGAGCGTGGTGCTATCAACACCAAATCAAGGGTTCAGATCCCCTTACCGGTCATCTTTAAAAAAAAAAAGTATCTCCAAACCTGGAACTTTCAATATGCTTCTCCTTTTCTGCCCTATTTTAACTTTTGAGCAGAAAACCATGAATTACCAGAAATCGGAGGAAAGAAACTATATAGTATGAAACGACAGAAACCAAAACAAAGAGAAAGAAGCAATTGGAAGGAACAGAGATTATTCTTGGATAAAAATATTTAAAATGAAGGCTGGTCAGTTAGCCCAGTAGGTTGGAACGTCTTTTTTTTTCAAAAAAAGAAAAAGAATTTATCTGCTTAGGTAGTAACTGGGATGTCTCAGAGCTGGGGTTAGAGGGAGGCCAAGTGAGGTAAGTTATGCAAGTGCAGAATAGGATCCTGTTTTTATTCAATACTTCAATTTTTTTCATCAATGGATTTTTTTGGCATTAATTTTGATTTTTAAAAATATTATTTAAAATATTATTTTCTTGGGCTGACCAGTAGTTAGCTCAGCTGGTTAGAGTATGGTGCTGATAACACCGAGGTCCAGGGTTTGATCCCTATACTGGCCAGCCACCAAAAAATAAAAATAAAATAAAATATTGTTTTCTTATGACTTTTTTTGCATCCTTTTGAATTTTGCTCTTGAGATGAGTGCCTAACTAATCTCACCCTAGTCTCGATCCTGCTTCAGG